TGAAATTTTTAAAACTTTTTTGATAGCATGATGGCAAACATCCCGAGGCGAAACTTTGCCCCAATTTTACCATAATCGTATACCGATATGGTCATTTTAGAAGTGTATAGTCTGTTCAACGAGAAGATCCTTGACAGTGATAGATGTGTCTGTCATTTTAATTTCAAAGTAGTTTATTTTATTTTACAAAGAAATAAGTTGGTACAACTGGAACGCATAGCGATATCTGTGGCGATATATTTAAAATTTGATTGACAAGATGACAAGTGATTACTTCAAAATTGTATAAAACTGAAAAAATGTAATCGAGTTATTTTATTTAATAAAAACGGTATGTGTTAATACAAAACAAACAAGAACAAGGCACTACATACCAAAAAAATATAAAAAATAACTATTATTTACTTTCAAGCTTTATGAAACTACCCGCATTTATGATTATATTTATCAATATAACTTATGTACAAATACAAATTTGTAATATTCCACAGGTATAAATAAAACAACATAGGTAAATACAACAACTATTTTATTAATAATAACACCTACCAAATTTTATACCTTAAAGGTGGATTAATTACCTTTAATCTTAATTTTTTTAAACCAGTACCTTTTGACATTATTTTTCTGCACCAGTACTAAAATCCATTATTTACCTATCGTGTGATGTCGATATTTTACAGCTACTCCAGTTTTTAGTATGTGTTTAGTTTGATCCTTATATACGAAATGCACTTATCTACGACGAAATGGTATACAAACTTTATCGATGGCAACTTCATTGGTGTATAAGACTTTCTGCCTGGGCAGCGTGTATTAACCATAAACTGTGCTCTGGGCCTACAGTTAATTTTCACTCGATTTTTCCTCCACTTGACTTCAAAAGACACAAAACACACGTAATAATACGAATCAAAATGCATCATCTTTCAAAATGCAGGGTATTTAACAAAAGTTGACACAAAATTATAACCAATAATTTGGCAAGACTTTGACAAGCGTCAAAAATGACAAAAATCTAAAGGCCAGTTCATACGCATCGGCGTCCGTTTATCGTTCATCGTTCCGTCAAACCAATAAAATTGAAATACGATCTGTCATTTTTTAAATAAACCAATAAAACTGGTTAAAAACAACAAGACACGACGTATGACGGATTTATATTTAAACCCATCCATAGATAACCTAAAATTATTAGAAACTTTTTTTAGTAAAATAAATAGATTGGTATGGGACGTCATCTGCTTTTCTTCTGTCATCGTCTGTCGAAATCTTACCTTAGAAAAAAAACAGAGTATAGTCTGGATTTTAACGTGTAAGACAGAGAATAATATAAATGACCGGTTGACAGAAAAAGAGATAAAATCAAAAGCGGCATACGGTGTTGCCGGTTTTTACGTTTGTAGGAGAATTTGTGTAGAAAAAGAAAACTATTTTAAAAAAATTCATATATAGGGTGAGTCTTAAATAAGTGCAAATATTTTCAGGGCTGGTAGATCTCGATAAAAGAAACATATTTCCTCTTTACCATTATTCAGATGAGTCCAAAATAACGGAGTTATTTAAGTTTGAAAATTAAAAAAAAATGTTTTTTTTTGGAAAAATTTTCAGAGCCACCGGATTTTTTATTTATTTGCATCCCTTTTTAGTGCCGTAACCATAGAGTAAAGCCGTAACTATGGTAATACCTGAGATTAAGGAATTATACCGTGGCAAAATTTGCGGTGAACAGGCAGTTCTAAAAAGCTTTCCGAAAAATATACAGGAAAATTTAAAAGAAAATGCACGATTTTCAACATCTTTTTTTAGCGAAAAAAAACTCATAGACGTGTTCCTGGGGTCGAAATATACCACCCCTGAAAATATTTGCACTTATTTAAGACCTGTATATTACTGAAATGAAAATAATATCTAAGATAAATATAATCTATTACGTCTGTAGTAAAATCAGTAACTAATTGTGAAAAATAAGGTTCCAACCTTAGATGCAACATTTTCCATAAAGGCATACATCTGCGGTTTGAACATTTTTGATGCAAAATCCGGCAACACAGCATAGAAGAAATGTATTAACCCAACTTTTATCTTTTTTCAATACATTTGATTTTGCATTAAGCTGCCTACACCACTGTCTAACACGTTAAAATCCAGACCACACTTCTAAAATTACGGTTTCCGAGATACCAATGCTCGAACCTTGAATTTTTAGAATCCCGTATGTTGTTCGCGGGTTTAGGACCAGGAAATAAACAACTTTTATTTAAAAAAAAAAATTGCCGAAAATTGTCGAAATGTCGGAAATTTTTTAAATAAAAAGTTGTTTATTTCCTGGTCCTAAAAATGCAAACGCCATATCATATCGAGCAAGATATTGAAGTATATAAAAATATTAGAGTTGAGGGTTGGAACCTTTGGTGTTACACAGCAAAATAAAAACACTAAATCACCACAATACACCAAAACACTTTTACTTTTACACTGGACGCGGGTTTCGCTAACCATGTTAGCATCATCAGCAGATGATTATAAACTAAAGTACAATCTACAAGTTGAGCGTTTATATACTCGCCCAGTGGGCCCCGAGTGGGCGTGGCAAAATCTAGCCAACCGAGTCAGAGCCAACTGAGCGTAACAGTTAGATTTCCGCCACTAGAGTAGTAGGAACAAAGCACTTGAAGGAATTGGACCGTTGTCTCTGTTCATACTATCTTTACATTTATTAATTCTGATGCTTTCATATGCATCTAATTGCCTGTAATTTGAGACTTGTTTAATTAATTTTAAAATATTAAGATCTATACAATGTTCTTTATCAACAATATGTTCGGCAACGCAAGATTTATCCGGTCTACCATATCTTATCTGAGCTAAATGTTCTTTAAATCTAGTTAATATTGATCTTCTAGTTTGCCCAACATATTTCTGATTACAATCTTTACAAGAAATTTCATAAATACCCGACCTTTCCAGTGGAGGTGTTTTATCCTTTGGATTACCTAATAATTGTTGTGCTAATAATAAATTTCAAAAATTATTAGGTAATCCAAATTTTAAGCTTCTCAAAAATATATATCACTCTATATTTATTTTCACTATTTACAGCAATATTTAAAAGTTTTTATTAAAAGATCATATTTATTAGTAGGCCATGATTGAATAAAAGAAACTAAAGAATTATTAAAAGTATACTGCTATCTGTCTCTTGTTTTATTTTGGGAGCCGCTAATAAATTCTTTATATATTAGGGAAACTTAACTCTCTACCGCTATTTGTAAATCTTGGAATACGTGTATACGTAAGAATAATCTATCGTATCGGAAATTTTAGATATTCCTTTAGCTAATTTACGTGAAATATACTTTCAGCAAGATGGGGAACATTCCCCCTCATAACTATGGAAATATTAGAATACTGTTAAATTATTATTTTTCAAATCAATGAATTGGAACCAATGAACGCATATTGATAGCCTCCTCGATTCCCGGATTTCGCCGTTCTCGATTTCTGATTTTGGGGATTTTTGAAATACGAAATATATCGTGGGCACTACAACAATGTCGAACACCTGAAAAATGCTTTAATAATTCAAGATTTAGATATTTGCAAACCCATCCCGTTATAAAAAAAAGAAAAATATATTCACAGTTTCAGTGGTAACAGTTATTTCAAAAGTAAAGTATATCAATCCCAAAATAAAAAGCAAAATAAAAAACACTAAATCACCACAATACACCAAAACACTTTTACTTTTACACTGGACGCGCGTTTCGCTAACCATGTTAGCATCATCAGCAGATGATTATAAACTGTTCAGTTTATAATCATCTGCTGATGATGCTAACATGGTTAGCGAAACGCGCGTCCAGTGTAAAAGTAAAAGTGTTTTGGTGTATTGTGGTGATTTAGTGTTTTTATTTTGCTGTTTAACACCAAAGGTTCCAACCCTCAACTGTAATATCAATCCCAAATAAATTTTAATATGTGTATGACTATTTTAGTAAATACCATTTTGATTTTTTGTTATTTATCACGGCCTACTAATAAGAAAATGATATATTTTAATTATTGCGGTAAATAGTGAAAATAAATATAGAGTGATATATATTTTTGAGAAGCTCATAGCAAGACAGATCATATGATTTATAAATATACAGGGTGTTCCATTTGAAAAAACATAACTTTAGTTCATATTTTCAAAAATATTTTTTTGGTAGAAAAACAGACTACGCACTGTATTCTACGTAAAAAGTTCTACAATAAGCAGTTTTCGCCTTCTCGATGCCTTTAACAATAACAGAGATACAGGGGGTGTCCCAAATTGCAAAATTTTCGAAAAGACCCTGTAGCTCAGAAATGAAGAGGGCTATGAAAATTTTGTTTGCAGCATCTTCCGTTTGACGAAAAAGTGGGACAGGTTTGTGCAAACCGCACCCTTCTATCTTCACTAATAACGGAGATACCCTATGATTTCAACTAAAATGGGACACACTGTACAACTCATTAATCAATGATTTAGTACATTAATATAATGAATATGTGTTTATTAATGTTTCAGCACTAAAATAAAGAACGGCGTTCATTATATTAATGAAAATCTTACATTAATTTAATAACCAGATTTTCATTATATTGATGAAATTAGATTCTTAGTATTAATAAATCGAACATCAATCTATGATTAATAAATCATTATGTTAATGAAAAAAATCATTCTCCCAATGAAACAACAGTTAATAATCAATGTTCATTAATATTATGAACAATATTTTTTTCAGTGTTGTTTTATCATGGTGTGAGTTAATTTTTATGATAAATATGAGCATTTTTTATAAAAAAAAACGGTAGCGGAGAAAAACAGAGTAACATATCAGCCACCTGATACTTATATGCGTATAAACTATAATTTACCCCCCTCTTCGCGAGCAGCATCCCTACGATGTAGGCGCTCGTTTAGGATAAAATCCTAGTTATCCTGATCCTGCACATCGTTGTGTCCTGTCCTCGCCTTGTCCTGTTGATTCGCCGTACTCCTGCTGCTGGTAGCGTGTTCAAGAAGAGCTCTCGTGGTTTTTCACCGGTAAGTTTCAAAAAAAGTTCTCTTAAACGTATAGGCCCTAATTATTTTTTTCATAATTTGTATGTTTATGATAAACACTTTATATATTTTTTCGATATTTTAAAAATTTTATAGCCACTTTCAACCCAAATAATTGTGCAAAAAATAGTGATTTGGTTTGTGTTAATACAGTATGTCCCCGGATTGTCTTTACAAGAGGAAAAACACTTTTATTATTAACATTTTGAGAAAAATGCATTCTTCATATAAATTTTTGCTTGTTATAAAATGGTATATTCCGTTTATACTTTTGAAATTTCAAAAAAAATTAAAATACGGTTGAATTTTTTCTAAAGATTTTTGCCTAAAAATGAAAAGGCGTTTCTATGGCAATATAACTTCGTTTCCATTCTTTGATAGATTGTTATTTATATAATTTTAATTAACGTAATATTTTTTGTTGTTTTAACATGTGAAAGAAGCACAAAATTTATTTAGCTTATTGATACGGAAAGGATGATGACGTTGATCAAAATGAATAATAGCCATCTATCAAGGAATGAAATCGAATTGATATTATCATAGAAACATCTTTTGGTTTTTAGGGAAAAATGTGTTTCTTAATTTTCTCTAAAACAGTATGGAAATTTGGAAAAGTATAACGAGATTAACCATTTTAGAACAAGTAAATTTTTTTATGGAGAAACCATATTTTTCTAAAAATGTCAATAATAAAAGTGTTTCCTGTTGTAGAGACATACTGTATATAATATTTAACACATATCGTCACTAATAATTTTTTTTACATAATTTGTATGTTTATAATACATTCTTATTTTTTGAATTTAAAAAAAAACAGCTAATTTCTATCAATAATATTTAAACATATCGTTAGATTTTTTTTATAATTTGTGTGTATATGATTCATACTTTATATATTTTTTATTTTTGAAAAATTTTGAAGCTATTTTTTATCCAAATAATTGTATAGAAATTAGTAATTTTAAGATTTGCATTATCTTTATTAAAATAATATTTAAAACGTATAGTCATTAATTTTTTTTTCATAATTTGTATGTTTATAATACTTAAAAAATATATAATAATATTTTTTAATATTAAAAAAATACAGCTAATTTTTATCCATATAATTCTTCGGAAACTAATGATTTTAAGATTTGTATTATCTCAATCAAAATAATATTTAAACCGTATAGTCACTATTTTTTTATAATTTGTATGTTTATAATACCTACTTATTTTTTATTTTTCGATATTAAAAAAATACAGCTAATTTTTATCATAAATTCTGTCGAAACTAATAGATTTTAAGATTTGTATTATCTCAATCAAATAATATTTAACGTATAGTCACTATTTTTTTATAATTTAAAAAAAAAAAAAAAAAAAAAAAACTTATTTTTTTATTTTTCGATATTAAAAAATACAGTTTTTTTTTTTTTTTATTTTAAAGTAATTCTTCGGAAACTAATGATTTTTAGATTTGTATTATCTCAATCAAAATAATATTTAAACCGTATAATCACTATTTTTTTATAATTTGTATGTTTATAATACCTACTTATTTTTATTTTTACGATATTAAAAAAATACAGCTAATTTTTATCCATATAATTCTTCGGAAACTAATGATTTTAGATTTGTATTATCTCAATCAAAATAATATTTAAACCGTATAATCACTATTTTTTTATAATTTGTATGTTTATAATACCTACTTATTTTTTATTTTTCGATATTAAAAAAATACAGCTAATTTTTATCCATATAATTCTTCGGAAACTAATGATTTTAAAATTTGTATTATCTCAATCAAAATAATATTTAAACCGTATAATCACTATTTTTTTATAATTTGTATGTTTATAAAATACCTAATATTTTATTTTCGATATTAAAAAAATACAGCTAATTTTATTCAATATAATTCTTCGGAAACTAATGATTTTAAGATTTGTAACTTATCTCAATCAGAAATAATATTTATTAAATAAAAAAAAAAATATTTTTGTATAATTTGTATTTTTATAATACCTACTTATTTTCGATACTTAAAAAAATACAGCTAATTTTTAAATCAATATATCTTCGGAAACTAATGATTTTAAGTTTGTATTATTCATCAAAATAATTTAAACGTATAATCACTATTTTTTTTATAATTTGTATGTTTATAATACTACTTATTTTTTTATTTTACAAGATGGATTAAAAAATACATTAATATCCAATATAATTCTTCGGAACTAAGTGATTTTTAGATTGTTATTATCTCTCAATCAAAATAATATTTAAAACAAAAAAAAAAAAAATTTTTTTTATAATTTGTATGTTTATAATACCTACTTATTTTTTATTTTTCGATATTAAAAAAATACAGCTAATTTTTATCCATATAATTCTTCGGAAACTAATGATTTTAAAATTTGTATTATCTCAATCAAAATAATATTTAAACCGTATAATCACTATTTTTTTATAATTTGTATGTTTATAATACCTACTTATTTTTATTTTTCGATATTAAAAAAATACAGCTAATTTTTATCAATATAATTCTTCGGAAACTAATGATTTTAAGATTTGTATTATCTCAATCAAAATAATTTTAACAATAAAAAAAAAAAAAAATTTTTTTTTTATAATTTGTATGTTACTTCAGAAATAATTAAAATAAATTTTTTATTTTTCGATTAAAAAAAATACAGCTAATCTTTTAATCATATATTTTCGGAAACTAATGATTTTTAGATTTGTATTATCTCAATCAAAATAATATTTAAACGTATAGTCCACTATTTTTTATAAATTTGTATGTTTTATAATACCTACTTATTTTTTTGATATAAAAAATATATGTTTATTATTTTTAATATCCATATAATTATTCTTCGGAAACTAATGATTTTAAGATTGTATTATCAATGCAAAATAATATTTAAACCGTATAATCACTATTTTTTTATAATTTGTATGTTTATAATACCTACTTATTTTTTATTTTACGATATTAAAAAAAATACAGTTTTTTTTTATTTATTTATTTGTTCTTGTGAATAAACTAATGATTTTTGATTTGTATTATCTCAATCAAAATCATATTTATACGTAATAATCACTAATTTTTTTATAATTGTATGTTTATAATACTACTTATTTTTTATTTTTCGATATTAAAAAAATACAGCTAATTTTATCCATCCCATAACTTTCTAATTAAATTGTTTCCTCCTTGCCTCTAATTTCCATTTTTTCAAATAAAATAATATTTAAACCGTATAATCACTATTTTTTATAATTTGTATGTTTATAATACCTACTTATTTATTATTCGATATTAAAAAAATACAGCTAATTTTTATCCATATAATTCTTCGGAAACTAATGATTTTAAAGTTTGTGTTATCTCAATTAAAATAATATTTAAACATATAGTTTTTTTCATAATTTGTACGTCTATGATACATATTTTATATATATTTTTTATTTTTTAAAAAAAAAATCGTATAGAGATTAGTAATTTTAAGATTTGCATTATCTGTATTAAAATAATATTGAAAACGTATGGTCATTATTTTTTTTCCATAATTTGTATGTCGATTATACCTATTTTATATATTTTTTAAAATATTTCTTAAAATTTTTATAAAATAAATGTCCAGAAATTATATTTTTAAAGTATGCTTTACTTTTATTAAATTAATCGTTAATTAAGTAAAAATAGGTCGATTTTAGTTGTTTGTTGCAATAACTAAAAAGAAATAATTTTATATTATCTGGGTACCTACCCTTATATATATATATATATATATACTGTGTAATAATAATAATTATTTGAAGCATACTGTATAATATTAATAATTATTTTAATTTTTTCATAATTCTCGAGACAAATGAAACAATATCTTATTAATTATTTTATCGTAGACTCATCCTGTACGCTGTACGTATTTCAGTTAATTGAAAATTTTATTTTTAAAGAGTATATTTATAAAACAAACTATATTGCTTACGATTGTATATATGTTACAGAATTAAAAACTAAACAACGTACTAAAAGATATCTGGTTAAAATGTTTTTGTTGTACGATTATTCCAAAACTATATTTATAGTTTGTTGAAACTATATAGTATGTTGAAAAACAGAAATAAAGTAATATTATATTTTTGTTTCATATGTTTACAATAAATATTCTTTTATAAAATACAAAAATAACATAAATGTAAACTAATACTCGTAATACATCAAAAAATATTTCAAAAAATTGTTTTTAGGTACAGGGTGGGTCAAATTCGACGCTTTTAAATGGAAACACCCTTTTCTATAGGAGATAGACAAAAACTAATATCGGTGTCTGGAGCTCAATTTTTGTCAAAAACATGGTGGTAAAAACGCATATCGATATCTGTTACCGTTTCGGAAGTTACGGGGTGTTTTTCAAAAATAGCATTTTTATCAATCGCTGTAACTTTTTTTGCTATGGAAAATTTTGTATTTTCATGAAAACATTTCCCAAAGCACTTTTTTACGTAGAATTTAATGGTTTAAGTAAATTTTTAAAATTAATCAATTTAAAAAGTATCACGGAAATTTGAGTTTTTATATGGGAACAACCCTGTAATATTTTTAATTTATTGAAAAGAATTTAAAATTACCTTTTCCAAAAATATACACCACTTGATATTTGCTCGATTCCTCTTCGAGATATAGAGTAATATAGAAATGCGCGACCGCTTTCAATAAGTAGGCTTTGAACAAAAGTTACTTTTGAACTTTTTTCTTCAAGTTTTTAAATAAAAAATTAAAACGAAAAGAATTTTTTTTAAAATAATATTTGCTATGTGATTTTATAACAATTTAAAATATATTTAACCAACATCAACACATTCAAACAGGGCCGTATCTGGGGGGGTGTTTTGGGGGTTCAAACCCCCCCCGAAATTATGGCCGAAAATTTTTAAAAAGTAATGATCATTAAGTAAGTAAGTAAGAACGAAAC